TACGGAGTGCGAAATGAGTATTATATTATATCAGATTTATAAAATTAAATTTTGTGCATAGAGTTGACCTTGTGATAAATCCCTCCAAGTAAGAGAGGTCTCTAACAATATATACTGTAACTCCTATCCTTATAAATACAAATCAACTCTTGTCCATCAGTGACAAAATGTATCCGACAATACACCACCATGCTGACGGCCATCCAGGATCTATCGCCACCACCGGACTTCCAGAACACATTCCTAAACAGCCTTATGTCCCTAATCCTCTACTCTCCCCCCATGTCGTTGCCGGCAGGGTATCGGGAAGGTGGTCAACTGGTCTTTGCCACTGCTGTGATGATCCTGCAAATTGTATGGCTATTTATTCAAATTCTGCTAAATTGAGAATTTCATTATTTAGTGATATGATTATTTTTTTTTTTTTCTGATTTTGTAAACTAGGTTTCATCACTTGGTTTTGTCCCTGCATTACTTTTGGACAGATTGCTGAGATAGTGAGTAAAGGTTCATCGCGTAAGTTACCTAAACATGTCACACTAATAGATTTTTTTTTCAACTTACACTTTTTTTTTAATATTGTTTCCGGAGATAAAACCACGATATTACTTCCTTGACAATGACTAAATAGTATAATCAACAAAATTTGAACTTTTTATTTTTTCTTAGGGCTTGCTTGGGAGTTTTGTCGTAGGGGTAATGAACATTTTTTAAAGTATCGATTTTGAGTGGTTTTAGTAGCGATTTTAAAACTGTCCAACCTATGCTTAGGAATTTATTATTCACCGGTTCTGAAAGTTTTTTAAAACAATAACATTATATATATCCCTTATTAAAAAAAATTATATGAATATTTTTTTACTCATAGGTGATTTCTACTTATAGATAATTTCTTTTACATATAAGTTACTATTTCATTTTAAAAATAAAATAAATTTAAATACTTACGCAAAATTTTAAGTTAATATTTTTTTACTTATAAGTAAATTTTACAATTATCTGTAAATTTTATATTTTAAAATAACTTTATGTGAATTTTTTAATTATAAGTAACTTTTTTTTATATTTTATAAGTGAAATTTTGTTTTATTGGTAGTATTTTTATTTTATAACAATTTTTTTTTACATAAAAATGATTTTTTACTTATAAGTATTTTTTAATTATAATGTAATTTTTCTTATCTTACAAGTAATATTTTACTTATAAGTATTTTTTAAATTATAATATAATTTTTAATTAATATATTTGTATTTACAATTTAATTTTGAACAAAATATGTTGGTTAAAACTAATTATTTTATAAATGGGAAAATTAGAAGAGAATATGAGAAACGATCAAAACCCGCTGATTTGGTGGGTTGAAAGAACCGCTCAAAATTACATTATACTGATTTTTGGTGTTTTTAGACAATCCAAAATCGATGCCTAAAAAAACTAAAAAGTACTGATTTTTCCAACCCCCCATAAATGGTGACATCCAAAACTAGTCAAAACAGGTTGAAAAAACTCCCAAGTAGGCTAATATCTTGCCCAATACTATTGAATCTTCCTCGTCAAACATGTCATAAATTGTACAATATTTATACGTTGAGAATTAGAAACCCTAATATCTTATTTGGGCTCCATTATTTTCTTTCGTTTTTCTTTTTTTTTTTTTTAAATTACACATTCTTTAATAAAATAACATTACACGCAAATCAAATTTTTTCTTATTTTTTAACTGCACATTATCTATCAAAATATTATTTCAAAATGCATTTTTGGCCAAAAAAAAAAAAAAATAGGGCTCAAACAGGCTAAAAATGGCATTAAGAGAAAAAGATATAAACAATAGGCAAGATTTATAGATGTTTGCCTCAATGTAAGATTATATTATCTTTTACCACTGCAATAATTTACTATGATAAAAAGAAGTTACAAAAGAAAAATGGTACACACTATTTTCTCTTGCCTCTTTATCTCTTTTTGATGATGATATATACGTGGGTGAACTATGTATTTTTACATGCACATTTGATGCTCATGCCCTTGGAGGGGAGATTTCGTACTCCCACGAATTTCACTATTAGATCCCAAAGAAGAATCTTAGGTCTTCCTATATGATCACGAGATTGACTTTCAGGTCGACTCAAATCGTTCGAGACTATTTATTGTTGTGGTATTGTAGCTTGTGCAGAAAGTGGGACGAAATATGCATTGCTTCTCGTGACTGGTTTCGCTTGCTTATACTCATGTTTCTATCGATCAAAATTGAGGAGCCAATATGACTTGGAAGAGTCACCTTGTGTGGATTGCCTTGTGCATTTTTGCTGTGAAACATGTGCACTTTGTCAAGAATACCGAGAGCTTCATAGCCGTGGATTTGATATGGGAATAGGTATGAATATACCCTTCAAAATATTTTACTTTTATTTGTTAATCGTGCTTAATTATATCATAGGTCAACAAATTCTCTCAATTTTTTTCTTCAAAAAAATGAAACATCATATTCGCTTAGACTCCTTAGAGGGCTTTTGTTTCCTTATCTGGGAATTCTTTATGTTGATTTCTTTCTCAACTCTAAGGGCCTTCTTGGGAGTTTTAGGGTATCAATTATGGGTGTTCGTTAAAGTGTCGAGTTTATTAGAAGTCAGATTTTGGGTGGTTTCTTGTAACAATTTTTATAACAATCCAATTCATGTCTGAAAGTTTATTATTCCGCAATTCTGAAAGTTTTTTAGACAAATAAAATTACATCTGTTCCATTAGTGAAATTTGCAATTTATAATTTCTTATATGATTTTTTACTTGAGAAGTGATATGTTTACTTATAATTAAGATTTTAACTTATAAGTATATTTTAGAGTTTTAAGTTACTTTTTTACCTTTAAATAATTTTGTTCGCATATGTGAGTTTTTGCTTATAAATTTTTTTATATTTTATAAATTAATTTTTGTCTTACTAGTTACTTTTACTTTATAAACAATATTTTACACAAAAGTGTATTTTCATCCTATGAATAATTTTTTTTTATTTATATGTAAATTTTTATTTATAAATTAATTTTTTACTTATAAATATTTTTTTTAGCTAATATATTATTATTTACAAGTTAGTTTCAAATAAATATGTGGATTGTGAATAACTATTTTATAGAGGTAAAATTGAAAAAGAATTTGAAAAACAGTCAAAATCCACTGAATTATAATGGTCAAAATTACACTTCACCAATTTTAAAACGCTCAAAACTTTTGCCTAAACAAACTAACAAGTACAAATTTCCTCAATCTCTAATATATGATGCCACCAAAAAATGATCAAAATCGATGAAAATAAACTCCCAAACAAGCCCTAAATATCGATCATAAAAAAAAAAAAAAAAAAAA